CTCCCCACTTATGCAAATGAAGCCCGGGAAATTCAAATCCCAGGCTTCATTTGCAAGTGCGGTATGCCTACATTACCCTCCTAGTTCAAACTAGGAGGGTAGTGTAGGCATACCCATAGAGAGGCAACAGTGCGGGGGGCAGGGAGGTGGCTTTTCACACTGACATCCTTACAAAGAACAAACACTGTCTTTCTCACAGAGAAAGCACTCAGTGGGGTAGTCACGGTAGTCTGTATCTGCAAAAACAAGGAGTCCATTTTACTAGAGACTGAGGGTGCGTCTACACTACATCCAGAGCTCGAAATAAGCTATGCAATTTGAGCTACACAAATTTCTTAGCTTATTTCAAGTGAATTTTGAAATAGCTTATTTTGAAATTTGGTGCTGACTACGCAGCACTTATTTCAAAATAAATCACTAGTCCAAAACGTCCCTTACTCCTCATGGAATGAGGTTTTCAGGGATGTTGGAACAGTAAGCCTGTTATATTGCGAAATAACAGGCATGCTCAAAAGACGTAGAATAGCTATTTCAGAATACTTCTGGTATCCCGAAATAGTGCTGCAGTGTATATGTAGCCAATTAGATTAGGGCATGAACTTTTGTGGGTAAAACCCACTTCATCAGATGAATTGGAGTGGAGATTTCAGAGAAATACCCTCTTTCTTTTGTTGTTCTTATATATACCCATTCCTCTGTAAATTCCATTGCAATTCATCTGATGAAGTGGATTTTACCCATGAAAGCTTAGGCCCTAATAAATCTGTTAGGGTATGTCTACACTTGCACCCTCTTTCGAGAGAGGGATGCAAATGAAGACATTTGAAATTGCAAATGAAGCCGAGATTTAAATATCCCACGCTTAATTTGCATAATCACATTATGGCCCTATTTCAAAATAGCGCTATTTTGAAATAACCACATCTTAACAGCATCTGTTATTTTGAGAAAAAACCCTTCTCTTGAAATAGCCCTTATTTCTTATACAATGAGGTTTACCAGTTATTTCGGGAGAAGGGTTTTTCTCTTGAAATAACCACGTCTTAACAGCGTCTGTTATTTTGAAATAGCGCCATAACATGATTATGTAAATGAAGCACAGGATATTTAAATCCCAGCTTCATTTTCAATTTCGAATGTCTTCATTTGCATCCCTCTCTCGAAAGAGGGTGCAAGTGTAGACATACCCATAGTCTCTAAAGTGCCTCAGGACAATTCCTTGTTTTTTCAGAGAAAGCAGTATGCGACATTGTAAGAACCTTTTATCTTAAATCCCCTCACAGCTCTGGCACCTAGCAGATATGCAAAAATGGATTTATAGGGCCTGTTTCTCTTTTCACAGGGGTGCATATATATATTATGTAAGCTTTATACTGCAGAGCCTGCAGCACATGTAACTGCTATGATTTTTAGAGGTTACTCAGTTACATTTTTAACCACATTTTTACATCCCGGCTGTGTCTAGACTGGCCAGTTTTTCTGGAAAATCAGCCACTTTTCCGGAAAAACTTGCCAGCTGTCTACACTGGCCGCTTGAATTTCCACAAAAGCACTGACTTCCTACTGTAAGAAATCAGTGCTTCTTGCGGAAATACTATGCTGCTCCCGTTCGGGCAAAAGTCCCTTTTGCGCAAAAGTTTTGTGCAAAAGGGCCAGTGTAGACAGCTGACATTTGTTTTGCGCAAAAAAGCCCTGATCGCGAAAATGGCGATCGGGGATTTTTTGTGCAAAAGCACGTCTAGATTGGCCACGGACGCTTTTCCGCAAAAAGTGCTTTTGCGGAAAAGCATCCGTGCCAATCTGGACGCTCTTTTCCGAAAATGCTTTTAACGGAAACTTTTCCATTAAAAGCATTTCCGGAAAATCATGCCAGTCTAGACATAGCCCCCTAGTGCAGAGCCCCTTATGTAGATGTGGAAGACCTGGTATTGTGCACCAGAAAAAGGGCAGTTAGCAGAGAAGCAATTCTATCTAAGAGTAGGTTTTAATTTTAAACATAATTATCAGAACAAGTAAAAGTTGTCCTCTTCTTTTAGATTTGTTGAACTTTTACAAACCAGATGGGCAAAATTTTATAAGAGAACTTAACTTTACTCAAAAGCCTGTTTTTTTAAAAGCAGTAATGACCAACACAAAGAACATTTTTGGAAGATTACTAACTGAAAGAGGAGTAGATGGCGTGAAATGTACAGGAAAGCAAGACACATTGATCTGTCAAGTAACATGAGGCTCTGGATCTGAGGGTTCGTCCTGATTGCACCTGCTTCTGGCTACTCAAATTACATTACATTGTAGAGGCAAACTAATCCGATGCTTTCCTGTCAGTGTTGTGTAGGAGTCCAAATCTTGGTGTAGGTTTGAACCCAGAATTTTCTGGCCAGCAGTGCTACAAACTGAATGAATTCATTCTTTTGTTCTTTCTTTCACATAGCAGCAAATGGTTTGGAAGAATATGATGCTCCAGATAGTATTTTTCTTCCAAATGGAGTAGATCTTCGCGAAGTTACTATTTTGCCAAGGGCAGAATGGGTGAGGATTCAAGACAGTGTTGACAGTGCAGCTAGAGAAGCAGCACGGATTCATGCAGAGAGGAAAGAACGGACAGATATGCACTTACGTTCCAAAGCAGTTGTGAAAAACTGGCCCAACACCATTGCAGTAAGTGAAATTTATATTTGGAAATTGGAGGATTACTTTTCATAAAACACTATTAGAGTGAACTCTTCTTCTCCATTCCGCATATATAGACACGTACACACACAAACACACTTCCTAATATGAGTTTCACTCTAACCAGAGTCTACATTTTGGTGACCCTGCTTACTAATTCTGTCTCCTGTTTAGGAGCATCATAACTTCTTCCCTCTTCACTCCACTACTCCAGAGAAGTATCAGGGAACTTCAACTAAAGAGAGAGAGCAGCAACACACTAGACCTACCTTTTTCATGTCATGGATAAGTTTAAAACAGGATCTTAGAGAGAAGGAGAAAGAAAGAGGTGTGAAGGGAAAGTCTCCATCTTTCCTGGAGACCGCCAATGGAGACACTCGCCCACCAGACTTCCAGTCTTTTCCTTCTCTCTACAGGATTCTCGTTCAAAATATTTCAGTGAGCAAGTCTGGAACTTCCTCACTTCTAAATTACACATCTTATTTCAGTTCAGGTAATTACATTTTGCCTACCTAAAGCGAGCCTGTAATTTCAATTGGCTATATTATTATTTACTATCATCTGTATTACAGTGGTATCTAAAACGTGCAAGATCTGAGAAACAACCATAGCTTCCATAGCATATAATCTAATAAAACAAACGAGATAAGGTTGTGGGAGAGGTAAAAGACAAACAACAAAGTTTTGTTGTTTTGAACCCCTGCCTCAACTACCATGCTGCTTGATCCTTACTAGTTGGCAGTACTCTTGGCATTGTGGTAGAAGTGAATCTTTGAGGTATTTGAAAGCAGTTCATTTTAGAAAGTGTGCTCCAAGTGCAAGAAGTGGCATGGAAAACACAAAGATTGTTGTGGGTGAAGCAGCCAAATGTTAAAGTTGTCATCATTGATGGAACCGAAATCCATGCTCTTTCTGTTCTTTACCTCCTATCCTAAATTGTCACTGTAGTACAGTGCTGTTAAACAGCTGCTGCTCATTACCTCTGAAATGGGTGCACACCAGTGGTGAATGAAGTGACCCTTACCCTTTATCCAGTGGTGTGAAACTTACTATAACTACTCATAAAGCACTTTGGAAGCCTCATACAAAGTATGCTTTCTAACTGCACAGCATTTTTATTATACTTTTTTATTTCTAATAGATATTTAAAACACAGAACAGCATCTCAAAAAGTATTTGGTAGTCAAATAAATGAGTAGGTATAATCATCTTCTTGCTGATTTAGTCTTTTGAAGTAGTAGTAGATTTTTGAGCCTGTTCTTTTCAGTATGATCTGTAATGGAAATGAATTTTATTTGCATTTAGGGCCAGGCAAAGAGGAAACTTAAAGCCAGAAAATTGCGAGAAGAAAAGGAAGAGGAAGAAAGAAAACAACTTGATCTGGAGGAAGCACAGTTTCAAGCAGCAAAGCGGAAGGAGGCCATAGAACAGGCCAAAACTTATCAATATTATCAGAATGAGAGAGTGAAAGGGTTACATGTTTGTAGCTGGTTTATTGTCTAATTCAAATTGCATTGTGTTTCTTTGCACATAATTGAATGTGTAACAGAATAAACTTATGAAATGTTCTAATTTTTTTTGTAGAGAGAACTTTTACTTACTGAGGTCCTAAAGGAAAGAGATGCTCAGATTGAATTTAAAAAGACAAAGCCAGATATTTACAAAAAAAAGGAAGAAGAAATGGAACGTGAGCGTGAAAAAGCTATTCTTAAAGAGCAGGAAAAGGCATATGAACGCTATATGAATCGACAGGCACTTTGCAGAGATCATCTGGAACAGTAAGTAAAACAAGGCTGCTTCTGACTAATAAAGAATATTGAGTTAAACTGTGTTTCTTTTTCAACAAATTTATTTTAATCAAATTGTTAAAAGAAATTGAATATTCATCCACTAAACAAATGAATTACAGGACCAGGGATTTTTAATGGAAACAAAATGAGCTGTTGTTTTCTCTAGAGAGAGAATGACATATTAGATCATGATCGCAAACCCATCGATCGCAATCAACTGGTCGATTGTGGGGGCATAATCAGTCGGTCATGAGGTGTTCCAGCCTTCCCCTCTCATTCCTCCCATCCCTAAAAAGGAGTACATACTGGCACTACAACCTCTTGAGAAAATGGAGGTTGTGGTGTGGAGTGGGGGGCAGGAGTCCTGCAGCTGCACGCCAGATCCAGTGTCTCAGGAAGTATGCACGCTGCTCCTCCTCTCCCCAAAACAGCTGGCACACTTCCTGAGAAGTCGGATCTAGCGCTCAGCCGGGGACATCCTTCCCCATGCTGTCTGCCTTCCTGCATGGGGTGAGGAAGGGAGGAGAAGTCCCAGGGCTGTGTGCGAGATCCAACTTCGCAGGAAGTGCACCGGCTGTTTTGGAGAGCGGAGGGCGGATCTGGTGCGCAGCTGCAGGACTTCCCCCCTCTCCCCAGCTCAGGAAGGAAGGAAAAAAGGCAGATCGGGGAAGGAAGTCCCTGGCTGCACACCAGATCTGACTTGTTAGGAAGTGCACTGGCTGTTTTGGGGAGGGAGGAGCAGCACGCGTACCAGACTCCCACTAGCACCCTGCTTCTGCCTCCTGGCCAGATACCATACAGCACTCTGCCCAGACACCTTCCAGCATCCTGCCCTGCCTCCTGGCCAGACACCATAAAGCACCCTGCTCCTGCCCCCTGGCCAGGCCCCCATCCAGCACCCTGCCCCTGCCTCGTGGCCAGACAACCTCCAGCACCTTGTTCCGGCCCCCTCCCTCCCCCACTAGCACCCTGCTTCTGCCTCCTGGCCAGATACCATACAGCACTCTGCCCAGACACCTTCCAGCATCCTGCCCTGCCTCCTGGCCAGACACCATAAAGCACCCTGCTCCTGCCCCCTGGCCAGGCCCCCATCCAGCACCCTGCCCCTGCCTCGTGGCCAGACAACCTCCAGCACCTTGTTCCGGCCCCCTCCCTCCTGGCCAGACCCTCAGCTTGCTCATGTACCCTATTTTCCACCCAGATTCTGGACCCCCATCCCTATCCTACACACTGACCCCCTCATTTTTGGCCACACCTCAGAATGTAAAGGGGCGCTCAAATTCCACTAACCCTGGAATTCAGAAGAGTTAATCTGGCCTGATGCCTTGAACTTCAATCCTACCTACCCCCCCATGGGGCTGGAGTGCTAGGGGAGTGAGGTGTCTCAGTTGGGGCCACAACAGTGAGGCTTGGAGGTGTTTGGAGGGGTTGGGTTTTTTTGGTATCTCACTTGTGTGGTCCCTGACTGATTTTCTGTGGGTCAGTGAAATAAATAAAGACAATGCTGAAACTTTTTGTGTTTGACATATTTTATTTAGAAATGAAGCCTGGCCGCAGCATCATAACACTCCTGCACCCCCCACAGATCACAACCTTGAGCCTATCATACACTGGAACCCACTGTCCTGAGCCTCCCACATCCCCAGTCTTCTGCCATAACAGTCCTGCACCATCCACACGCTGTAAAGCTGTGTCCTGAGCCCACCATACGCCCAACCTCCCTGCCCATAGCCCCTCACATACCCCAATCCAAACTCCTGCACCTTCACATCCACAAGCCTGCGGCTTGCTCAGCACCCCAACCCTCCACCTGACCCCAACACTCCAGCCTGGAGCCCCAGGGCCGGCCTACAACATTTTGGACACCTGAGATGAGAAGCTCAAATGACGCCCTCATGCCCCCTCACTGCACCAACAGCAGACACAATTTTCTACACTCTGGGTCCTAGTGACCCCCCCCCCACCCCC